CCTCTCCCGCTTGTGCGTTGCCGGAAGCGGCGGGAGAGGGACCCTGAAAAGGCTCCCTCTCCCGCCTGTGCGTTGCCGGAGAGGGACCCTGAAAAGGCTCCCTGTCCGGCGGCGGGAGAGGGACCCTGAAAGGGCTCCCTCTCCCGCCTGTGCGTTTCCGGAGGCGGCGGGAGAGGGACCCTGAAAAGGCTCCCTCTCCCGCCCGTGCGTTGCCGGAGAGGGAACCTGAAAAGGCTCCCTGTCCGGCGGTGGGAGGGGGAACCTGAAAAGGCCCCCTCTCCCGCCTGTGCGTTGCTGGAATAGGACCCTGAAAAAGCTCCTTGTTCGGCGCTGGGAGAAGGAACCTGAAAAGGTTCCTGGTCCTGGAGTGCCACGCCGGAAAGGGACCCTGAGAAGGCTCCCTGTCCGGCGCTGGAAGAGGGAACCTGAAAAGACTCCCTCTCCCGCAGTGCCATGTCGGAGGGGGACCCTGAAAAGGCTCCCTGTCCGGTTTCTTGCCCTCCTTTTCTTTGATGATTTCGAAGTGCGAAGGGGCCACTATCGCAACCTGTTCCCAACCATCCTGTGGTGTTGGGTCCTCGTTTTGAAAACACGTCGCCCCGCGTTCCTCATCCTTCCTCCTCCCTCCTCCCCTCCTCTCATCATCATCATCATCATCATCATCATCATCATCATCATTATCATCACCACCATCACCATCGTCAACACCATCATCATCATCATCACTATCATCTGTATCATCATCATTATCACCATCACCATCATCATCATCATCATCATCATCATCATCATCATCAGCATCATCATCATCATCGTGATCATCGTCGTCATCATGTCAACATCAGCATCATCACCCCCCAGTACAACGCTTCGTGGCCCCACGGGGAGCGCCACCGAAGGTCCCCGTGGCGCAGTCCGCATGCGTCTCCCCCACCCAGTACAGCGCTTCGTGGCCCCATGGGGGCTCCACCGCAGGACTCCGTGGCGCAGTCCGCATGCGTCTCCCTCACCCAGTACAACGCTTCGTGGCCCCATAGGGAGCTCCACCGAAGGTCCCCGTGGCGCAATCCGTATGCGTCTCCCCCACCCAGTACAGCGCTTCGTGGCCCCATAGGGGCTCCACCGAAAGTCCCCGTGGCGCAGTCCGCATGCGTTTCCCCCACCCAGTACAGCGTTTCGTGGCCCAATATGGAGCCCCGCCGCAGGTCCCCGTGGCGAAGTCCGCATGCGTCTCCCTCACCCAGTACAGCGCTTCGGGGGCCCATAGGGAGCTCCACCGAAGGTCCCCATGGCGCAGTCCGCACGCGTCTCCCCCACCCAGTACAGCGCTTCGTGGTCCCATATGGAGCCCCACCGAAGGTCCCCGTGGCGCGGACCGCGCGCGTTTCCCTCACCCAGCACAGCGCTTCGGGGCCCCATAGGAAGCGCCACCGAAGGTCCCCGTGGCGCAGTCCGCATGCGTCTCCCCCACCCAGTACACCGCTTCGTGGCCCCATAGGGGCTCCACCGAAGGTCCCCGCGGCGCAGTCCGCATGCGTCTCCCTCACCCAGTACAACGCTTCGTGGCCCCATATGGAGCTCCACCGAAGGTCCCCGTGGCGCAGCAGTTCCCTCACCCAGCACAGCGTGCCGTGGCCCTATAGGGAGCTCCACCGAAGGTCCCCGTGGTGCAGTCCGCATGCGTCTCCCCCACCCAGTACACCTCCGTCGGAGGCCGTCGGAGTTCCGCGCCTCACTCGCCCGTCGTCGCTCTGCCCAGCGGCAAAAGCCTTGCCCGCCATCAGCCAGCCAGCTAGCTTCTTGGCTCCGCGCAGCGGACGACCCGCGCGCGTCGCTGGGACCTTTCCGGGGCGACCTGCGCGCGTCGCGGTGACTCCGCGTTGCGCTGCCGCAGCCTTGGACTTTTGAGTGCGCGGGCAAAGAGGGAGTAAAAGAAGGGGTCGAAGCGGGCGCGATCCTCGCGGGGGGGCGCGCCGACATTGGCGTCGCGGCGCGCGGGCGATGCCGTCGGGAGTCCCGGGGAAGCTCCTTGCGGCGGCCACGCCCAGCGTCACGAGTACTCAGAGGCAGTCATTCTCAAACTATTGAAACTCATATACAATTACACCATGCTTTGTCATACTCGCATTCATGCACGTAGACTCGCTCGCACGCAGATTCATTCACAGTCAGACGCACTCGCGCTCAGATTCACACACGCGCTCAGTCTCCCCACGTACTCAGATCAATCGTTTTCGTTCGCGTTGTGTACCACGCCACTCATTTCGGCACACCCCATGTTCGTTGCCTGATAGGGATCACCACCGAAAAAGTGATTCACAATTGCGGCACTCACATCTGCATATGGTTGGGTCCTTCGTCAAGCTAATTTGGCAACGATTTTGCACACTTGTTTGGCCTCCCTTCCGCGGAGGCGTACTTTTTTGACCACGATCTTTCTCACAATTAAATAAATCAGGAAAAAATCGCGTTCAAAATCGTGGGTGGTTTCGTGGGGCCTTGCAAGGGGGCGCGGAATCGTGGCCGAAAATCGCCAACAAAATCGTGTCCGAAATCGTAAGCAAAATCGAATTTGAAATCGTGGGCGAAATCGTGTTGCCGAAATCGTGGCCGAAATCGCGGGCGCAGAATCGCGGGCCTGCCCGGTGCGCCAGCGTGCCAAGCTGCCGCGCCAGCGCAACATCAGCGACGGTAAAGAAAAAAGAAAAAGGAGGAAGCGGCAGCAGCGGCAGGAAGGCCAGCAGCAGCAGCAGGAAAAAGAAAGAACGGGAAGCAGCAGCAGAGGAGAGGAGGAGTCGTCGAAATTGGCCCGCCCTTCGTCGCGCGCCCCACAGCGCGCTGGACATGTTCCTCGGGGGAGACTCGCCGGCCCCACGGGCCAAAGGCGCGCGAAGATCTCCGGCGACTGCCTCGCAGCATTTCTACTCCGCGCGCGCGGGGCGGCCTAGAGGGGCCCCCGGACGCAAAGTGCCCCGGCCAGGTCGGGCCAGAGATGGTTCTTCTCCTGGGCGCGCCTTTCAGGCGCCCCGAAGCGATGCAAGAGGGCCACCGGAGGCGCCCGAGACGGTCCAAGAGGGCTCCGAGTCGTCGAACGATTGGCCCGCGACACTCACGATAACTTCCAGACGGCCCACGACGCGCGCAAGACCCCCGAAGAGGCCACCGCGAGCTGAAACGATATCCGAAAACGCGATTTTGAATTTTAGAAAATTGTTAGCAGAGAGACAAGGCGGAAACAGACCGGGGGCGACGGCGCTCGAATGACGCGTCGAAGCGAGATTGCGCACAAGCCGCACGCCGAATTCCCAATCTCGGAGCGGGTCGGCGACGCAAGAAATTCTGAACAAAGAAAAACCGAAAAACTTGGAAATCTAATATTTTTTGCTTCGGGCAAACACAGAATCGTTGCACCAATCCGCTTGGGGGGCGCAGCTTCATGACCATTGGACCTGAGCGTGCAATTCCTCTGTTAACGGCCCGTTAACATGGAAAAACGCGTCCGTCACCCGAGTTTCCGTTAAGCACCCGATTTTCCATGTTAAGCGCTCCGTTAACAAGGACAAGGGGGGCCCGAGCGTGCAATTTCCCGGTGAACGGTTTGTCAACAGGGAAAAGGGCGGGCCAGTAAAGCACCCGATGGTCCCTGTTAGCCAGTAGACCCTGCAATGCAGATGCCAACCCCCTCAAACTCCCCCTAGTTTCATTTCTTCCGACTAACGGATCGCACGCTACGCGCGCTTCCCGCCATCTGGGCCTAGAACTGCCTACCTCCGTACATCCCTCTTATTATTTCTCCGACTGACGAATCGCGACGCTACGCGCGCGTTCCGTCATCTGGGGCTTTGGCTGCCTACCCCCACACACCCATCCTTGTTATTTCTCCCGACTAACGGATCGCGACGCTACGCGCGCGTTCCGTCATCCACCGCCCCCTGTTGGCTTGCCACAGGGGTGCTGGGCGTGCTGGATATTTTCGGTTTGTTGTCTCCTCTGGGGCTCCTGCCCGTCCCGCCGGTCACCCGGAAGGGCCCGCAAGGGCGCGCAAAGGACCTCAACGGCCAGAAAAAAGTCCCCAGGTCAATGCCGTTCCCGCCCAAGATGGCCCGAGATGGCTTCCAAGACGGCCCAAGAGGGTCCAAGATGCCTCCAAGTCCCCCCAAGCAGTCTCCAACATGGTTCAAGATGGCCTCAAGATGGCCCAAGACGGCCGAAGAGGCCCCCGAGAGGTCTCCAAGACGTTCCAAGTGGCCTCCAAGAGGTCCTTCAGGGAGGCCTGAAGAGGCCAAAATCATTCATCTTCCGTAGGTGTTTGAAGGATTTGGGCATTTGCGTCTATTCGGCCTTCCGACGGCCCGAGACGGCCCAAGAGCCCCCAAAGGTCACCCCAAGATCGCCCAAGAGGTCTCCAAGAGGGCCCCAGAACGGCCCAAGAAGCCCCCAAGACGGTCCCAAGAGGGCCCCAAGACTGCCCAGGAGGCGCCCATGACGCCCGAGATGGCCTCCAAGACGGCCCTGAAGCACCCCAAGAGTGCCCCAAGTCGGCCCAGCGAGGCCCCCAAGACGGCTTCCGACGGCGTCAGACGGGCCAGGAATGCCATCTAGACGACCAAAGAGTCACCCGAGAAGCCCCCAAAGGCCCGCAAGAGGCCCAAGGAGGCCCCAAGATGCCTCCAAAAGAGTCACAGGAAGCTCCCAGGAGGCCCCAAGAGTGCCCCCAGAGGCTCCCGAGATGCCCCCTCCTCCTCCTCTTCCTCCTTCTCCTCCTTCTCCTCCTCCTCCTCCTCCTCCTCCTCCTCCTCTTCCTCCTCCTTCTCCTCATCCTCCTCCTCCTGATCTTCCCCGCCATCCCCCCCCAAATGTTCCCCGAAGGGTTTCTACAACGGCTGGTGAAACACATGACCCGATAGCTTGGCAGAGCTCTTGCCATAACACTTGGCCACATGGGCGATTCCAAACGGCAGGGGGCGGCGGTGATTCGCCGTAGGCGTCTTCGATACCACCAACGTTGCACTCGCAGTTTGGTGTGCACTGGCCAGTGAACAACTTGCCCTCCTTGCAAGCGTAGGTGATGGTGTTCGAGACTGGGGGAGATTCACAAGGAAACGGACCACATTGGAAGACCGAATCCCACTGTGACTGGTAATCCATGTCGCCTGTGGTGACGCAATTGATCTCCAATTTGCTTGGGAAAAACTTACCAGAGTCACCCACTTCATCGTCCAACTGTCCGTTGCAGAGGGTAGTACATGTCGACCCATGAGGAATCTCGGTCAAGTAAACGCCTGCGCCATCTGTTTCTTGGCAAGCATGGTCAGAGTTGGCGACGACGGGGACCGGGCAGTTCGCCTTCACCGTCACGTTTCGCCTCTTGGTGTCCGTGTTCTGTGCAAGGTCGGTGCACGTGTATACGATTTCGTAAACTCCAGGCATGTCGACGTCGAGGTAACTGACCCTGGTCATCGCGGGCTCGAACGCATCCTCTGCGTCCTCGCAGCCGTAGCTCGCCTCCGGCCAGACGTCGCCAACGTTCACGCAGCAGTCGGCGACGGCGAGCACCACCGTGGGCGGCTGGTCCACGCGGGCGCAGTACCCGACCTCGCGCGATAAGACCAAGTCCTGGCTGTATGTCCCGTAGCACGTCTTCCACTTCCGGCAGGTCACCGCAACGTTGTCAAACTCGAAGGCCTCGCAGTTCGCGTCGGTCAGGCAGAACTCGGCGCACTGCGTGGAGTCCGAGGCGTTGTACAGCACGTTGGCGTCGTGCAGCTCGGTGTCGCAGTCTGTTGGCTGTCTAAAACATGCTGCCCCTGCTGCTGCTGCTGCTGCTCCTCCTCCTCCAAGCTGGCCCCAAGTCCTCATCAGCATCAGCAACACCCGTGCTAAACCTCGTCTTTCCCTCTTCATCACCTCCTCATCCTCCTCGTCCTCCTCCTCCTCCTCATCATCAACATCATCATCATCATCATCATCATCATCATCATCATCATCATCATCATCATCACCATCATCATCATCATCATCATTATCATCATCATCATCATCATCATCATCATCATCATCATCATCATCATCATCATCATCATCATCATCATCATCATCATCATCATCATCATCATCATCATCATCATCATCATCATCATCATCATCATCATCATCATCATCATCATCATCATCATCATCATCATCATCATCATCATCATCATCTCATCACCATCATAATCATCAGTATCATAATCATCAGCCGCAGCAGCAGCATCATCATCATCAGCATCATCACCGTCATCATCATCATCATCATCATCATCATCATCATCATCTTCAGCATCTTCATCAGCATCATCGGCATCATGTTCGTTTCCTCCTCATCATTATCCGCCTTCTCCTCATCATCCCCCCGTTTCTCCTCCTCCTCCCCCAACTCCTCTTCCTTGTCCTCCTTCTCCACACATTCAGTTTTATCATGTACCGTTTCATGTTCATCCGTCCTCCACTTCCTCCTCCTCTCTGTCCGTCATCATCCTCTTACCCCGTCCATCCTCCTCCTTCTTCTCATCTTCCTCCCTTCCCTCCTCTCCTCCTCCTCCTTCTTTTCCTCGTCCTCCTCCTCCTCACCGATCCTGCCTCCTCCTGCTCCTCCTCCTCCTCCTTCTCCTCCTCCTTTTCCTCCTCCTCCACCTCCTCCTCCTCCCTCCTCATCATCATCACCCTCGTGCCCAACCTTTCTCCCTCCGAAGACAAATCCTCCTTGCTGCGCCAAACGTGTCGCCAAGGTGGTAACACGTTTTGGGCGGGGCGTTTCGCCCGATACCTCCTTTCAATTTCCCAAAAATGATTTGCATTACGGGAGGTGTTTGCCTTTCTTCGCAAACCTGGAAAGCCCAAAGGACGCACAGCCAGCCAAGTGACACATTATTTGCGGCGGCACCCTCCGGGCGACATCCATTGCGTATCTATTGATGAAAATGTGTCTCCCAACTGGATGGGACACCATCGAAGCTCTCTGCATATCCAAGGATAAACACACAAACCCAGGGAACCATGAATAATCACAAACAAAAGCTCATTGAGGAAAAAAACGGAAAACCACAGAACAAACAAAACACACACACAAAAAAAACAATAAACAAACAAACGAACAAAAAGCGACTCGGGTGGACACGGAACAATTTTCATGTGGATCCCGCTTGGTGACTCGATTTCCTGTGAGGTCTTGAACGCGAACCGATTACTGAAAACGGTTACTTCCTTTGATAGGGGGGGGCGTGCTTCCCAAAGCCCATTTCTGGATGCTTCGCGCTTCCAGCCGATGCCCGCCCATACCCGCCTGCTGGCCGCCCCACGCGTTGGCTTGCGGTTCCGCGTTTTCGCCCCGTGCCCGCCCGTAGCCGCCTCGTGGCTGCCGCGTGCGCTTGCTGGCGGTTCTGGATGTTCGCCCCGTGCCGGCCCGTGGCCACCTTGTGGCCGCCCCCGTGTGTCGGCTGGCACGTTTGGCCCTTCGCCCGTCCGCCCGTTGCCAACCCGAGGGTTCCTCGCGATCGTGTCGTGCGTTTGCTGCCGTTCATGGAGGCGACGCAGCTTGCACGACATAGACAGTACCGTGCAGCTTGCACCCCATTGACTGCACCAGCGACTTTGCACATCGCACATTGCACCACCCAAAACATTGATGTTGCCTAATAGGTTGTGCCACAGGTAGCCCCCCGCAAAAGCGGATAAGAGTAAGGGGCCGGTGGGGGATGTCGGCAGTTCGCGAGACTCTGGACAAGCCGGCCGCAGGCGCCAGCATTTCACAAATAACACACAGAGGGCCCGCCGAAGGCGACGATTTTGTCGTTAAACGAATGGGGGTAGGTCGCGGGTAGGTCGCGCGTGCGTCGCAAATTGGTCGCGGGTGGGTCGCGATTGGGTCGCGGGTGGGTCGAAGGGCGGGTCGTTGTCGGGTCGAACGTGGGCGGCCCGCGGAGCCTGCAAGGCCCGCGAGACCCGCAAGGATCACATGCGGGGCTTAGATGGCGCATACCCTGTCTGTAAAGTTCCACCGGGCGGGGGGCGGGGGTTCAGCACGCGGAGGGAAAACGCTATAAAGGTGGAGAAAAACGAATAAACATCCCCGGAGGTGTCCAAAATCCTTGGATGCTCCCCGGAGGCCCTGGACGCCCCGAAACATCCGCCCTGCAACCTAAAAGCGAAGGAGGAGGAGATAGATGGTTCTGAAGTCTGGTCACTGCCCTCTCGTAGCCAACGACGAGCAGGTGCAAGCGGCCGCCAGGCGGCCCCACTGCGAACGACGATGGCGACGTTGACTGCGACGATGATGATGACCATGGCCCGGATGATGATGCTGATGATCATGGTGCACGTACGCACGCATGATGGTGATGGTGACAACGATGATGATAATGATGATGATGATGGTTACTGACAATGGCGGGGATTATGATGATCATGATGATGCTGGTGGTGATGACGATGAGCATGATGAGCACGATGAAAGGACGGAGGACGAGAGGAGGAGGAGGAACGTGGGGCGCTGTCTCTAAAAACGAAGACCCAACACCACAGGACGATAAGGGAAAAGGAAACGCGTTTTTGTTCCTCCTTCCCGCATCCTTCCGCGCGGGGTGCGCCTTGCGCGGTGATCCCTCGGGTCCCCGCGCCATCAGGACGCGGGCCTTTCAGCCTCCTCGAGATGCTCAGATAAAGCTGGATAGTCCGGGATAAGTCCCGGATAGGCTCTGGATAAGCTCTGGGTAGACCCCGTGTAGACCCTGGATAGAGGAGGTCTTCGGACCTGTATGTGCCCCACGGCGCCCTTGGCTCGTCTATCCGGGATTTATCCGCGACACATCCACGACCGACCCAAGGCCTATGCGGACCCTATTGTGGCCTATCCGGGCGTCATTGGCGCGAACGAAGAATTTGTGACTTCGAAGGAAACCCTGGCCCCTCCTCATTTGCCAGCGCCTCCCATCGTAGCTGCTGCGGCTCCCAGCGTAGTTGCCGCCGCGATTCTAGGACCCACATCACACCGCCGAGAAGCCCGCCTCGCCTGAGACAGATGGGGGCCAGGTTCGAAACGCAGGCGGTGCAGTTTCCCACCTGTGTTACCGCGCTGCATAGCGGCTTCTGACCAGCCCTGCTTCCCCCCATTTCCTTTTTCCTCCAAATCCTCTTCCCGACCGCCTTCTGCCACGCCCCATCCTCCTTCCCTTTTTCCGTTCCGTTCCCATTCATGCGCCCACCTGCCCTTCTCTCTCCGTCACCCCCCGCTTCTGACCAGCCCTCCCTCCGTCCATTTCCTTCTCCCTCCACCTCCTTTTCCTTCCCGCTTTTTGCCGCCACCCCTGTCCTCCTTCCCTCCTCCCGTTCGATGCAACCCTCTCCCTCTTCCTCCCCCTCTCTCTTACAACGTCCTCCAACGTCCAAACAAAGATCTATGTTTTACCCCTTCCCCCAAGGAGAAAAAAACAAAAAAGAATAAAGGGGGGGAAAAATAAAAAACAAAACAAAACAAAAAAAAAAAAACAAAAAAACAAAAAAAAAAAACGTCCCGGAGCGACTATCAGGGCTGCCAGGGGCCGGTATCCGACATGACCGAGACATCGCACGTCTGGGCGTTCCAGCCCCCCCCCCCCGGCCGAGCTCCGCGGGCGGGATCGACCGCGCTTCTGAGACGAGGCGGCCCCATTCTTCACCCCCCCTCCAACTCCACGCCCTTTTTCTTCTTCACCCCATTCAACTTCATCCCCCCAACTTCCAAATTCCATCTCCTCCTCTTCTTCATCGAGCGCGCGCGCCCCTCCTTTTTCGCCCCTCTCCAACTCCATCTCCTTTTCCGCAGCCCCCCCTCCGGGGGCGCGAGGCGAGCGCGGCGCCGCGGCGCGGAGGCCGGAGGTTCTGGGGGAGGTCCGAGGCGAAAACGAGGGGGCTTAGTGAGAACGACTGGCCAAGCGAACTCGATGCGAAACGGCGAGAACGGCAGGGACGCGCGAAGATGGCGGGGCTGGGCGAGAACGACGGGGCTGGACGGAAACGAATGGGCTTGACGAAAACGACGCGGCTAGACGGAAACGACTGGGCTTGCGCTCGGGAGAGACAGCCCCAGCCCGGCGGGGCCGCCGGGCTGGCCGCGCCAGCCAAGCCTGCTTGCATCGGCGGGTCTGTTTCCGAGAATGCGCGCGCGCGCACGCGCGAGAGAGAGAGAGAGAACCCAAAAGAGAGAGAGAGAGAGAGAGAGGGCAAATGCATCCGCGGAAACCAAATTTCACGATGCGAAAACAGGGGGGCGCCGCAAGCCCACGGCGGTCGGTCGAGAACGCTTAGCATCAGTTAGTATCAATGAAGGAAAATTACGATCAGTTACGCCGACAGCAAGATTCACCGATCAGCGCAATGGCGCATTGATGCGACAGAAAAATAAACTAGTCGCAACTCTCTTATAATTAGCTACCAAAATCATCACAGCTGAATGCAATACCTCCCCCCTCTGCAAACTGGCCTCCGTGGCCAGGCCTGCGGGGCGAGGGCTGGCCACGGCCCCCAGACACTGTCGCGCGGCCGCGCGCCGTGGACCGCGCGGCGCGGCCCCGGCCGCCGGCGCGACTGCGGTCTTCGGTAGAGCTCCCTGCGAGGCCACGAAACGTGCGAGGGGTGTGCCAACATGGGCGTGCGTGACGCATGCGGGCGGTGGCACTGGCGCCTTCGGTAGAGCTCCCTGTGGGGCCACGTGGCGTGTGAGGGGCGCGCCGGCATGGGCGTGCGCGACGCATCCTGGCGCCGG